GCGCCACTACACCCAGCCTAAAACCTGGGCTCTTTTCCATGACATCAGTGTGTCAAGAAATTCATCCTCCCCACACCAGTAAGAATTCATTCTACTCAAATTTCATTACCCCCAGTAGCTTCTCACCTTGGAATGCTGGCATAGATCAGAGGTTTTCATCCTTGGCTGGATATCAGAAGCACATGTGGAGATTTTAGAAATTATGGCAGTCCAGATCTCCCTAATATGACCCTTTGGGAAACAGGGCCCAAGCATCTGTATTTCTAAAAAGCCCCAGAATTCATCACCTCTGATATGCAGCCAGAATTGAAAGCCACTGATCCAGCTGCAATGATTACACAACAATTTAACATTAATAACATTTTCTTTATGTGAGTCCAGACTAGTTCATTCATTCAATAAACGTGCTTGAGCTCCTACTACCAGATGAGCTAATGTTCTTGATAAAGCATCTATCTTGGTCCCTGGCACATAGAAAGTGCTCAATACTTCAATTATATTCATCACCCCTTAATGAGAGCTTCCACTGTTCCAGAGAGAAGGCAAATTGATGGGAATCCAAAGGTGAGGAGGCACTGACGGATCTGAAGCAGAGACAGGCAGGTAAATAATTACTGGCAATGTGGAGCACACCCAGCAAGGGAGGCAGCTAGTGGTGGCAGCAGGCAGGGGAGGCTTTGCCAAGTGATCTGGTTTTGAGATACACAGTGGTGTATGGTAAGTGTTCCATGGCTTCTCACTGGAGGCCGTGGGCTGAAATATGCACACTCACTATTCTTACTCTCATGCTAAGCCATTTGCTCCTGAGCATAGTTCTCAGGCCAGGCTGTTTCCAGCAGAAGGGAGAGACTGAGGTTCAGATAATGTAAATGTGTAACCAGAAGCCAGGAACCTAGCCCCGGGTAGAGCACCAAGTCACAACCTTCATTCCCAAGTCCTCTGGAAAATGCTGCCTCAGAACCCAATGGGCTCATGCATATACCCAGTGGAAAGGACAGCGCCCTGGCCTTTTGACAAGCTTGTACCTGGGAGGCAGCAGGGGTACAGAGGTAGACACATTGTTCACATCCCATCTCTACCCTTCTCACTTCTGAGATGGATTTCATCAAGGATAAGGATGCCTTCCTCACCTACTGAAGAGGACTAACAAGATTGCTCAGCACAGGAAAGGAGCCCTAAGGTGTCACTTGTCTCCCTCATATTCCTCATTGCCTATCCCAGAACCTTTGGATGGAGTAGCCCCTTGGCCACCATCAACCAAGCATGGCCCTGGGCCAGGCACATCTTTAATTCACTTTATATGCCTTCCCTTGTTGAATCCTCAATGCAACACTGCTGGGTTGGCATAAATGAAGAAGAAAAAATGTGCAGAAGGGCAAACTCTTTACATGCAGTTGAAGAAGACATCAAAGGAGTGGAGGCAAGGAAGGGTGTGGAGTGGAAGAAGTGAGGGCCTCTGGGATCTAATCTTTCATAGCAGGTGGGGGCATGCAGACAGAGGCTGCCCACAGCCAGAAGAGAGGGGCCGTCTGCTCCTCTGTCCCCTGCTGCCCGGCCACCCTGGCCTCAGCCAGCTCCTGTGTGCGATGGAAGCCAGGCCAAGGGAGGGCAGGCAAGGCAGAAAGCAAGAATTCCAAACTCCGAGCCCAGTGATGGATGATTCATATCTCACTCCTCATGTCATCTCCCATTTCTGCAGTTCTCATCTTTATTTCATGAATATTTTATTCTCAGAGCAATGGCTCCACATCCCCCATAAATCTAGCGGGTGGCTCTTTACTGCATCCATGGAGCTTGGTGCATTCACCTGCATTGGATAACTACATAATCGTCTGATTCCTTAGAAAAAATATGAGCTCAAATCTACATGAATATTAAGGGGTTGAACGCACATTACTACTCTTCTTCAAGTAGGTGTCTAAACTGTGACGACATCCTAGAGCAAGCCATTAAACACAACTTGGGCTCTACCCAAAGACACGTTTCTGGCTCTTAAGAAATACAGCCCATGCCTCAAAATGAAACATTGAAAGATCAACCAGACACTCTCACCTAATTGCAAATGCTGCCCCATAAAACACGGGCAACCAGGAGCACAAAGTAGTTCTGGATTAAATACCATCATTATTTTTTGAAGGTTTTAAGAATATGCTTCTAAAAGACTGTTGTTTTGAGCCCTTTCCTGGTTCCTATTCCCTGCATGATAAAGTCAAAACCTCTCGGTCTGGCATTTAAGTTCTTCGGTGCAGGCCCCATACCCCTCCCCAGCTTCCCCTGCTAGCATCTCCTTCCTCATGTTGACACTTCAGCCCTAGAGCTCCAGGAGGTATGATGACTTTGTTCACCTCCGTGCTGTTCACTTTGCCCAAAATGCAACTTCCTGTCTCATCTTTAGTACCAGGATTTGTATCAATGCTTCAAAGCTCAGTTCTAACAGCTCTGAGCCCCAAGTAGTCTTCAATAACCACACCCCTAACCCCTCTGACCCCACCATGCCCTGGCTGGGCTGGATGCCCCTCAGCACTTTTGTGATACTTGCTGATCACTGCAGGACAGCCTGCTCAATGGGTGGAGACTGCTGGGCCCAGCTCTCTGCCACATCTGTGCATGCGGAGGTAAGCTCCCTGAAGGCAGGGGCCGAGTCTCTACAGGCAGGCTTATTAAAGGAAGAAAGGGAGAGAGGGAAGAAGGAAGGGAGACATTGCATTTGAAATTTGGAAACCCATAAAAATAGGAAAAAGATGGAACATTTCCATGCAACCCTTCCTAGCAACACCAGAAGGGGTTGGAGGACAGGCAGCTGCTGTGCTTTTCCAACCTGCCTCTCTCCATGTGTCCTCATTCCTATCTGGAAGCAGGTTGGCAGCAGGGGCAGGAAGTCCCACATTCTGGAAGCAGGGCTGATGTATTCATCATTTCATAACTGAGATCCTGGACTTATGTGGAAGCCAGAATAAAAGGTAGGATGTTTTACCGGCAAGAAAGGAGCTGTTCCTCACAGCTAGGTGATTCATTGGTCTCCTGGTCTCTACATTTTTTTCTCTTTTCTTTTCTGTCTTCCTATCTATGTCTCTTTAACAATCACCAGTCTCTCTCTCTCTCTCTCTCTCTCTCTCTCTCTCTCTCTCTCTCTCTGTCTCTCTCACACACATACACCACAACAATTAACTGTGGGTGGTCCAGGCTGAAATTGTCCAAACCGTCACTAAACTAGGCATTGTGAAGGGACATGGCTAAAAGCAGACAATGACTTCTCATCCAAAGGACAAGCTCTCCCTGCAGGTGGCTCACAGATGATAGGCTAGAGGCTGGGGCTGAGCCTGAACCTGTGTCTCCAGGCCCCCAGCCTTGCCCACTGCTGCCCAGGAAGGCAAATTCCTGACAGTGTGATTTTCATCCACCTGGAGACCCTCCCCTGCTCCCCCGACACAAAAGGCCTTTGCACAGAGGAAACCAGGCTGAAGACTTATGGAAAATAAGCAAAACCCAAAACAAACAACATGGAGTGGGAGCAACATGGGCCAATTTGGGGGCCTGGTCTTTTCCATCCTTCTCATCCTTCTTGGTTCTACTGGGAGTGGTTTTGGGACCACTCCACCATGGCTGCCCACTGATGCTTCCGTGCATAGAGACCTGGGTGGTGCCAAGCAGGTGAATGGTGCACTCTGGCCATGGCGTGGAGGGGCTGACACGATGAGGAGAGGTCAGATATGTGCGGCCTTTCCTTAACACTGCTCGTCAGAATAATTCACTGTCCCTCCCACTGACTTCTTTATACAAAATGTTCCGGTAGCCAAAGAAGCTCGGGACAGAACCATCAACTGTTCCTTTCAGGCCTTTTCCTCAAAGCTCTGCCTTTCTTCCCTTCTGAGCTCCGGGGGTGACAGGACAGCCACTGAGGCTGCAACTGGCTCCAGCTTCACATTCCCTTACATGGAGATACACTGAAGGATGGAGAGGAAGACAGATGTCCCCGAATATTGCAGATGTACTGAGTTAAGCAGTGTCCTCCTTCCAGGGAAGAGACAGCGTAAGGACAGAGAGCTCACTACCTGGTATAATGCAGAGTCCTGTAAAGGAGTGAGGGACACCTACCCCTGTCCTCACCCCTGACCTGCCAGGAATGCCCTTACAGACCAACGAATGGAGGGTGAGATGTGGCCAGACACCCAGGCCACAGACATGGTGGACCCACCCTTCCTGCCCAGAGGTGCCAAATCCCTGCCCGAAATTAGGCTGAGAAGGAGCCCGCCGGCTCTTACGTCCTCCTGGCTGTTTTTCTTTCCTGGCTCAGTTTATTTTTGTGCCCCTTGGACCTCCTTCCTCTGAAACCATTTAATGAACTGCCCGGTACTATCTGAGCTTTCAGTAAAAACAAAAACAGGTAAAAAACAAAAACAAAACAGAAGTGCTTTTGGGTCTGATGCAGGTTGCTTTACCACTTCCTGTTTGAGGTTTATATCCATTTGCACCCACAGAGTCTCTAAGCAGAGCTGTGGTTCTAGACATAGCTGAGGCCTATGTGGCACAGAGTGACAGCCCCGTGGATGGTGTGGCTGGGCATGTGTAGTTTCTGCTGGCAAAGCATCATCACCAAATGACACTCCTTTCCACCCTCCCTTAGGGGAACTGTCTCCAGGTCTCTGGGGGACCTTGGTGAAGGCTTTATTTCAGAAAAAATAAAAATTAAAAAAAAGAGCTTGCAGAAGAATACAAACCCGATAAGAAGGAAGTGTGGAGGGACAGAATCAACTTGCAGTTGGCACATACAGGGAGGGACGTGTGCCCAGAACCTGGAGTGTGGACAGAGCTAGAGTGTTCCCTGGGCTGGGTGTACCCAGGAGGGACAGGGGCAAGGCTGGGCCCTGCAAGGAGGAGGGATATAGGGAGAAAGGAGTGCTGGGAGGGACAGGGATCCCCTGATGCTCTGGGAGAACAGTGCCCTGTGGCCCTTGGTGAGAAGTCAAAGAGAATCAGGAAGGAACGGGCTCCTCTCTTACCCTACAGGTGGTCTCTCCAGGTCAGGGTGGAGGCACATGGGCGGGGTAGGGTAGGGAAGGGCTCTCTGGCGCTGCCCACGCTGTACCTGCTCTATAGATAAATACAGGACTTTAGTGGCTAAGGCTGGCACTGCAGCACTTTGTTCAAGCAAGAAAACATCCCCTACATTCTTCTCTAGTTTTAAAAACAAAATAAAACAACAACGAAATCCCCCAATATAAAACTCTGTTGTCTCCACACAAGATGACTCAGGTAACTACTAACTAGAAACAATCTGCCCTCCCAGTGGCCCAGTGTGACACTCTTGCCTCTAGGCTGCGAAAGGGAGGGCAGGCCCCAGGGTGCTGACCTCCTTGGGGGTCTCCTGGTGGCACCGGTTGCTGTTCCACCACAACTCCAGGGCGGCCACCAGGCAGGCCAGGAGCAGGCCGATGGCCAGGATGCAGAAGACCCCGGCGAAGCTGTGTAGCTTGAGGGATTTGCCGTCAGCCTGGGCACTGGCATGGCTGGTGAGGTCACAGCGGCCCATGTGTGGCCACCACTTCTGCTTCAGCACATCCAGGTCCCCTGTGTCCTGCAGCTCCAGGATCCTGCAAGACACAATCCAGGTGAGCTATAGCCACTGACCTCATCGACTCAGCCATGAGGGCCCTGGCCCCTGCCCCACCATGCTGGCCCCACCACAGACAACATTGAGCCATCCTAGCAGCTTTCTGCCTTAGCTCTTCTCTTCCCAGTCCACTCCCCACACTGCAGGTAAAGTGTTACTCCCAAACGCACATTAAGTTTTGTCACTTCCCTCCCCAACAGCCCCCCGCTCTCTCCCACCCTATCCCACTGCCCAAGAATAAAGTCTGACAGCAAATCACATAAGGCCCGTCACATGGATTCTGTGGCAAGAGCTCAAGATAAAACTAGGAAATACAGAAAGGAAAGAGGCAAACATTTAGGTTGTGGATTTAGGATATTCCTGATCCTGAAAATGCTTTCTTTTGATCTTTCATTACTATATCCTAAGTCTCTCCCACTGGGATTCACCAAATTATTCATACAATCATTTGATTTGAGGACCTTCTGTGCTTTGCATAGTATGATGTTCAGCACTGCTGAGCTTATGGTCTAGAGATACAATCACTGACCCTAAAAAAATTAGCTCAATCAAAGTGCAGGCAGAACTGTGATTAAAAAAAAAAAATTTAATCAAAGTAGAGGTTCTAGGAAACAGCACATAGTAGGTGGTGTTCACTGGAGGATTGGAGAAATCCTCACCGAGGAGCCTACAGGTAAGGAGAAGCTTGAAGGATGACTAATCATAAAACAGCTCACATGGGTCTAGCATGTTCTACGTGCCAAGGATTACCCTCCATGCTTGACAAATAGTGTTGAATCTTCATTCGCATGCCAATCCTTTGAGATGGTTATTCCTGTTTTCCCATTTGACAGAGAAGGAAATCAAGGCACAGAGAGGTGAAATGTCTTGCCAAAGTCATTATGAGGCTGCCAGGGTTGGCTTTCAACTTGCAGGAGGAAGAACCTTCCTGAGACTAACACCCCATGTGAAAGTCATGTCTGGGGTAGCGCTTAGCACGTTTAAGAAGTGGAAAAATGGCCAGGGAGGCTATTGGGTGGTACGGGAGCAGGCATCAGGTGAGGACAGGGAAGAAGGCAGAGCCCAGACACGGGCTCTGAGAGGGCATGAGCGGCAGCTTCGATTTCATCATGTGTGCAATGGTGGGACAACCCATGCTGCTTCTGTACTCCCCACTGTGGTTTTCTCTGGTTGTGGTATTTTTGTCTGTAACCCAGGAGTCTTAACAGAGAGCCAGTGGTAGCTGGTAGCACTCAGACCCCAAACACCTAAGCTTTTCCAGTGGGGAGTGGAGCTCTTTAAGCCTGATCCATGGTGATATATTCAACTGATAACATCTGTAGAGGTCCCTCTGAGTTCTCTGGGTGTGTGTCGTTAGAGAGCAGCAGTTGTTTATAGCCAGGAGAAATCCACTGCCCACTGGACAGTTGTGTGATCTCTACCCTGGACCTGCATTCCAGCTCAGCTGTGACCACAGACCTGAGGCTATGCTCAATTCCCATACATGGGCTTGTGTCTGGTGGAGACAAGAGTCACAACCCTGAGGGGGTCCCAAGACCTGTCAGCATCATGGGCCCAGCACAGCATGGCCTCTTGATGTCTGGGAATGGCCTGGCTCAGTGCAAAGATTGGCTTTGGAGGCACCAGACCTCACCTGGACCGGGGACTTGCCCCTCCTAAAGCTCAGTGTTCTCATCTTTGCAACATAAACTGTTGACCCCCACTTATTTGAGCAGATCCTTCAGGACAGGAGCTGTGGGTTATTCTGTTTTCCCTGAGCAACCACAGTGACTGGCATCACTAAGGCTTTCAGTAGATGTCTGTTGTGTCAATAAATGTGTGAATGTACTAATTGAGCAGTAAAAACTTGACTAAGATGGCTGTGGTTAGATATTGATATAATGTCCATTAAGTGCTCAGGGCACTGGTCAGGATGAAAGACACAGAATGTGGCTGTACATTCAGGGACTTGGTTGTTAAGATACATGTGCATTTATATGGTTTGGGGTCATGCTTAGATTGCCCCAGAACACTACAGACCCCTCTCATGGCACATCACATGGTGAACCGGACAGCCGTAGTGTTGTACCACCTCATATGATCACGTCAGGCCAACTCAGTGGCTGCACGTCTGCCTGTTCACTGGCCTTAATAAGTCTGTGCTGGTAGGCATGAGGAGGCTGAGCCTCCTGGCAGTTGCAGGAACCTCAGGGACAGATAGGCAGGACCTCAGGGCCTTTGAGGAGGTCAGCAGTTGAACAGCTAGCTAGCTATGGATAGACAGTAGAGCTTTGTGTTCATGGCTATCCATTCAAATCCAGGCTTGGAGTTTCTCAAATTTAGCTCTCTTATCACTAAAGCCTGAGGTTATAATAAATGTACCTACCTCACAGGATATTGTGACAAAATGAGAAGAGGGAACACATACAGACCGTTAGCTTGAGATCCAGCCAGTAATCAGAGCTCCATAAAAACTGGTTAGTAGTTGTCAGTCTGATGGCCACATTGACCAGTAGCCTTATCTTGCCAGCACTGACATGAGCGACCTTTTATAGAGAACACAGTAGGAGCTGATCATTTTACACTGTTTGAATCCTCATAACAGCCTGCAAAGTGGTTCTTATTATGTCTATTTTACGTCTCAAAGACCTAAAGCTCAGAATCTAGATGACTTGCCCACTGTTGCAATTAGAAAGTGGCAATGCTGCTCATCAGAGCTGGGTCATTCTGACCCAGGAGGCCATGGTCTTTCCAGAACAGCAGGCTGTTCTCCTGGGGCCAGCTTCGGGGCCTAGGGGATGGTGAGGCTCTGGCCAGATGGTGGTTGTGGGGTCAGATCCCCACTCTTCTGCTCATTAGACAGATCCTGTGCAATGTCAGGGAAGTTGCTTAATTTTGCTGACCTCTTCTTCCTGCTCCCTATAATTGTATGCACTTTTTATACCCAGTCTTATCCCAGAATGATAGTAAGGCAATTTATAGGAAAGCATAACATAAAACAAAAAACCTAAACAAACAAAAATGATATTTAAATATGGAAGGGACAGAGGAAAGATAAAACAAGTCACAGGTACAAAATGACTTTGAGAATGAGGCTAAACTAATGCACACCGTAATAATCCATACTCCCGCTTACAAGAAAGCCAGAGGGATAATAGCCACTTCCTGAAGCCAGCTGTTCTATTTTCCAGACAGATATAATTGCAGGTGCTTTTTTTTATTCAATAGCTGTGGAGCCTGCTACACAGTAGGTGCTCAATAAATGGCTATTAAGTTGCTAAACATTTATTGAATGCCCACTCTGCATGCTGTGGTCTGCAAGCCTGTTTATAGCACATAAGCCCTGCCACACATGCACATACATCTAGATTCTGTCTTCTGCCAAAGCAAAGGAGCGTATCTTTATTGAAGAAAGTAGTTTAGTTCCCAGGATGAAGGGAAAGACAGTCACAGCAGTTCCACATAAGGCTAGGACCTACCATTTATACCAGAACTTGTTTTCTACAAATGGCATGAGGCACTGCTCTCAGGACCTGTCCCTTCACTCCTCTGAAACATGCCTTAGCTAGGGGCAGCTCACAGTTCTGTATGCACCATACAAGAAAGCCTTTTTTTTTTTTTTTTTTTTTTTTGAGAATAGGGTCTTTTTTTGTCGCCCAGGCTGGAGTGCAGTGGTACGATCTCAGCTCACTGCAACCTCCGTCTCCTGGGTTCAAGCAATTTTCATGCCTCAGCCTCCCAAGTAGCTGGGATTATAGAAGTGTGCCACCACATCCACCTAATTTTTTGCATTTTTACTACAGACAGGGTTTTGCTATGTTGGTCGGGCTGGGCTTGAACTCCTGGCCTCACGTGATCTGCCCGCTTCAGCCTCCCAAAGTGCGGGGAGCCACGGCACCCAGCCCAACAGAACCTTTTAAAGAACCACTGGCATCAGTAAGTTGGCAACCTGAGGTCTGAGTGTCGCTACTCAAGGGATGATCCCAGCCCAGAAGGAACTGTACCATACAGGAAGATGAGGAAACTGTGGGAGGCCAGCACAGGCCACTGGTGACGTTTCCTTATAATCACAGAGCACATGCCTTCTGATGAAAGCAAACAGTAATCAAACACTACTTGTCAAAATGACATGGAAACTGGACTAGCCACATTTGATTATGGTGACTGCTGGAATCAGGAGAGCAGCCCATGGGGTCTCTGTTGGGAGGTTTTGCACATGGACCTCACGGTCAGTGAGTGGACAGGTAGTGGGCAGGCTTGTTTCAGAAAGCCTGGTCTCTGGAATCACACACCCCATGTTGGCCCTGGCCCTGGTCCTCTGAAGTCACACAAAGGACATCTCACTCCTTCTGCCTCCAGCAAGGCTTACGATATTGGAGGTGGGCAGCCACACCCCTCCCCACTCATCTCCACCTTCCCCAGGTTGAGTATTCTCAGGTTCTACTCTGACCTAATGGGAGTCCCCTCTGCTCTGACTCCATTCAGCAATCCAGCCAAGACCGGGGCTCCTGGACTAATGTCTGCTGCCTCTTCTCTCCAGTGTGTCAGTGTTCACTTCAGCAGACTCTCAGGAGCCATGTGAGCAGTGTGAGCACACGGGGACTCTAACCTTTCCTCTCTGGGGCCCCTGTGCTTCCATGAGTGTGTCTTGGGGCGCATTAGTGGTCTTGGTGCTGCTGCTGTGTTGGCCCCATGGGCTCTCTTACCATCTGTTCTAGAGAGATGCTCAGAGGTTGATGGTCTGTGGAATCGTCCTGAGCCTCCCATCTCGGAAAACCAACTGGTGTGAACCTCAAGAACACCAACGTGTTATAAATCCTGGAGAGAAGCCATTCTTTCTTCATGCATTTAATCTGAGCAATTGATAAATCACTACTCCTCCTTCCCTCTTGTCATCTCTCTCTGCTCCAGAGAGTAGAGGGAGGAACAGAATGTATACTTGATTAAATTTAAGGGAAAACCCAAAAGTCTCATTTACCTTAATTAGCCCTACTCTGTTCCTCAGTTTTGCAAAGAAACCACTGAATGGACTGGTTGCAGGCCCTCCTCCTCAGCCTTCCCTTGATGGGGCTGAGGCCCAGGTACTCATGAGCAGAAGGGCACAATGTGGACATCTAGAGTGTGGGAGAAGGGAGGTTGTGGGGCTTGGAGATCCAGCAGCCACATGGGCATAGCACTAGGGCTCAGGAGACCTGGATTCTACTTCCAGCTCTGCCAGCAGCTGGCTCAGCAATCTGAATATCCTAGTTACCCTCTCTGAACTGCAGGATGTTAAAGAAATGATTTATAAGGACTCTCACGTCTCCAAATAGAAGTTCCTTAGTACTGAAATCCATGCATTAATCAGTTGACAAGCGTTGCCCCTGAACCTGGCATGATGCCAGCCTTTTCATTCAGATGCTTCTGCCTCATTTTGGATTTCGGTAGACTCTGGCAGAGCCTGCCCATAGGGCTTCCTCACTGGGCTCTGCAGATTCATCCCTTCACCCAGCAAAATGCCCTTCACAGATGTGTGCAAGAAGATGGCCCAAGGCTTAGACATGTTGGGAACAGGAGCTCTTGTTCACAGCTGACTACTGGACAAAGGCCACTGAACTACCCATGCCCCACTTCCACCCTTTCTGGCTAAGGCCACATCCCTTCCCTGCCCCAGCAGACAGCATCTCCTTGGACAAGGAAACTTCTGCCCTACAATCAGAGGCCCCTTCCAGCCACGTGCAAATAAATATGGAGACATTCTCCTTCTCTGACCCTACTTTTTAAAAGTCTCCACATTGACTACTCCACTTTACAGGTACATTTCTCTTTAAAAGTGATTAGTAGGCCCTTATCAGATCCTGCTAATTATTCATTTTTCTGGCTAACTCCTCCTCATTCTTCCAGCCTCAGGTGCCCCCTCCTCTGGGAGGTTCTCCCAGATATCCTGGGTCTGGTGAGATGCCCTTTTCTGCCTGCCTCTACCCTAGCATACTGAGGATGTCTTTGCCACATGCTAATATGCTCTGGGCTGGCATTACCTGCTCACAACAGAGACCCCACAGAGACTCTGAGCCTTCCTGGCAGGGACCATATACTTCCACAGGGTCTGAGGGTAGGGGAGGAGGAAGCAGTGGGGCATAGTATGTGCTTAGGAAAATGTGATGAACAAAGGTGTTTGCATTGGCTCTTGTCTTCTAAGAGGTTATTCTCTTACCCTCGACCACCAGAGTCCCGAGACACTAGAGTCCCCAGGCAGCTGCCTGAGCTTACCTCTGGGAGAAGAGGTCCCTGTAGGGGCTGCCATGCTGCAGGGCGATCCCGTAACCCTTGCTGCTGATGCTGTTGCCGATGACAGTCACCGAGCAGTCGTCATCTGTCAGGGCTGCGTATTCCACCACGGCCACATCCCATAGGAAGGCGTAGTTCCCCTTCTTTGCCTGAAAGATCAAAATTACCATGAAATCAGGTAGGCCTGGCCAGTTGTGTCAGCTTTGATCGGTGAGCTATCTTGATGGTGGGATTTGAGGGACCCATCCTCAATGGTCTTCCTACCCACCAGACAGCACAGCAACTCTGCTACTGTTTCCTGGCCTACAAATACCAGCATTGGTTGAGGCCACTCACTTTGACTAGACATAAAATGTGTGCAGACCAGCCACAAAACATCTCATGGAGAGGGGAAGAGCAGAGGAACTAGAGGTGGGCTCTAAGACGAGCTTCCTGGTCACAGTGCCATGGGCCTATGTCTCAGATTAGAAGGCTCAGCTTTGGAGAGTGTAGAAAATCTAATGCCAGGTGACTGAGATTCTCAGATCAGAATTGTTGGGGAGCATAACAGTTGGGGATGAGGAACAGGGGAGAATAGAACCATGGCAAATCTTATCCACTGATATTTCTACTTAGAACTTGTCTGAGCTCTGCTTAGGGTAAATCTGGAAAATGGCCCTGAATTCAGTGCCCCAGAGTAATGATGACTTAATATCAAGCACAAGCACATGCACATGTCTAGAGTCCCCTGTGCATGAGGAAAAATCCATCAGGGACAGGGCTTGACTGTTATGGTGCCATGCCAGGCTTCTGCCACTTGTCTTTTATTGCCCACACATGAAGGTATGCACATGCCTGCACACACCCCTACACATGCACACACATGCCTGCACACATACACCTGTGCACATCCACATACATATGTGTAATACACACACATCTATGCACCCATAAGTATGTGTTCACATACGTATGCACACACTCACATGCATATATGTTTGTACACACACACATGTAAACACATATACGCACACACACGTGCAGGTTTCTGGTGTCACCGTCTCCATATCAGTGCAGTGGTGGCAGATTCTTCCATCGGGAATTTGCCTGCGGTGACAGCTAAAGTCCTACTCTGTCACACCCATCCACAGCAGAGGTTTTCTTCTATCCTGAACCACAATTCTAACTTTGCCTGGAGTTTGGGCACTGGGAGGGAATGCAAGCTGCTTTACTTTCTGGAAAGAGATGCAAACCTGACACTGTCACTTGGCCATCTTGAAACAAAGTAGGATGTTCTTAATGCAGCAAAGTGCCCAGCTTTAATGCTATAGCGAGCACACAGACAACTCGTTGCCACTTCTTTCCTTTCTACCGTGGCTCGCACTAGATGATGGGAGGCCTCATTATGGGCTTAGTGACAGCACTGAAATATCACAGACAATAATAGGCCATGCTAGCAAGCTACAGGCTTCTTGGCATTGTTGAGGGCATTGTCCCTGGCTCCTGCCTTTGTTCAGTTGAGTCTTCATGTCCACTGAGACTTTCCAAAGAGTGTCATAGCTACTTAGACGAAGTTAGTCAAGATTTTATTTCTTTCAAGACCCCAAGTGCCCATGGCCCAAGATGGCTTATTTCTTTGTCAGAAGTTCTCCATTAGAAGGATTTGTGGGCAGAGTGTGACCTCCTGCAGTGGGAAGAGCCTGTTCCCAGACATTCAGACAATTTTGCCCAACAACCTTGTAAGAAATGACACACACCTGTGCCACTCATTGACTTTCACCTCAGGGAGCAATTCAAATATTACACCAAGGCCTCAGTCCTCAACCAATCCAATTTCAGAAGTCCTAAAGGACTCTGACCCAGGTTGCAAAATTACACACATCTCTCTCCTTCCATGTAGGAAGATAACAGTCCTATAAATTTTTCCTGCTGGCAAACAAGTTTTCTCACAAAAAGATAGACATTTTCAACCTCTTAGTAACCAAGTTTCTCAGCAAAATGTTGACTTATGACCTAATATTTGGTTTCAGTCAGACTTTGGAGCATTTCACATCCATGCTTGCAATTCAACATGACAATCAGACATTGTTATTTGTACAATTTCAAAAGGGCATGTCACTTTGAGGGAAAAATTAAGATCAGGTTTGTTTCTACATTTCAAGTGATGCTCCAAGAATGAAAACAAAATATGCTGACTTAGACAGAGTGGAAAGGGACTCCAAGGAAAGCCAGATGTGGCCACTCTAATGGGACACGTGGCTTCCTTCAAGCCACAAGCGTTTGTGACTCAGTTTGGGCTCAGGGACAGGTGAGCACAGCTGCATGAAAGCACCCACATTTATAGTCCTGCTGGCCTAAGCTGAAAAGGAGGGAACATCCAGAAGGGATGCTGGCAATGGCTCAGCCTCAAATCCCTGCTAACCAGGAAGGAAGTCCAGAGGAGACAGTAGGACATGCCTTCTGGACCTGCTGAATACTCCATCTCCCCATTTGTCTATTTGTAAACAGGGACTAAGTTCATCATTATATTTATTTTTTCTTTTTTTAAAAAAAAATATAGACAGTCTTGCTATGTTACCCAGGCTGAATTTGAACTCCTGGGCTCAAGCAATCATCCTGCTTCAGCATCTTGAGTTGCTGGGACTACAGGTTCATGCCACTATGCCAGGCTGCCAATATATTTCTTGTGTCTGAGGAAGCATGTGGCTGGATCCAGAATCTGCCTGAAAATGCCGAAGCAGGAGCACCTGGAGAGGGTGCTGTCCCACATTTTGTGATGGGAGCTGGAGGTAGGCTCTAGGATGAGCTTTCTGGTCATGGCATGGGCCTATGTCTCAGATTGGGGGTTCACCCTTGGAGAGGGCAGAAAATCTAATGCCAGGGGACTGTAATTCTATGGAAATGTAGGGGAGTATAACAGTGTGGAGATGAGAAGGAGGGGAGGATGGACTGTGGTAAATCTTATCCATTTAATATTTCTACTTAGAACTTGACTGAGCCCCGTTTAAAGTGAATACAGGAAAAGGCCTTGACTTCAGTGCCTCCAAGAACAGGTGACAATATCCAGCACAAGTACATGCCTAGAGCTCCCTGTGCATGGGGAAGAACCCTTTATGGATAGGACCCTGACAGGGCCAAATCAGAAGCTCCAATGGTGGCAGGACAGGCCAGATTCTAGCTCTGTCCTTAGGAAATACCCTCCATTCCTAAATGTCGTCTTCACTTCCTTGGCATCCCAGAACTTTCTCAGCCTTTCTCTTTCAGCTCCATGCTGAGTAAAAGGCAGTGCTGAAGTATTTCCTTAGGTCCCCAAGTTCATCTATTTCCAGGAGAACTTTCTGGACCTTGCAGACATCTCCCCCAGTTTCCAGTGTGTCACAGAGCCTGTCTGAGACATAAGGCTTCTTAGGTCTGACCATACTGTCAGGAACATTGCAGACGCCAGCTCTAAGAAGTCAAAATATCCCACCCATCATGGCCCTGTTGTCTTTATACAGACCCTCTTCTTCTCCCCTTGCAGAATGAGCTCCATCCTGTCCCCACAAAAACTCTAAGCTTTGCTTCTTCCTTGTAGGGTCAGAATCAGCTTTCCATGTGGCCCCTAATAATGATGAATTCACCCCCTTATTCTGTGCTACTTATCCACTGGTCTGACTTCCCCACTACAGGGAGGAACACCTAATATATCAAGCATCTGCCTCCAGGACAGCCAAGTGTGTCCTCTCTTCCCTGCCCCTCCTGCTGCAAGTTCACCCTCCTTCTTCCTTGAGTCTCAGCATTTCCTCCAATCCCGCTCCTAGGTTCAGTCACCTCCTCTGTGGGTGCAACCTCTTATCTAGCCTCTAGTTCTGTTAGGAAATCATGTCTATCTCTTTCTCGCCATTCTCCATCCCTTCACCTCCATTTCAGAGACCTCTCACATTACGAGGCATTTGTCATTTCCTATTTATATTAACTCTTTTCTGTTGAGGATGTTTTCAGGCTCTGGAAAAGACACAGCATAGGCAGGAATCTAGCTTCCTCTCAACCTTATGCTATGGTCTGGTGCTTGTAGAGGGAGGAGGGTGAACCCAGTCACCTCCCTGCAGGTGTCCCAGAGTCCCTTGGCCAAGTGTCACAACAGATCTTTAGATCTGCTATTTTTTTGCTACTTCCTGTTCAGACCAACTCCTTCTTCCTGTATCTCCCAGTACTGTCTTATCCCTACTTCCAGGTGGCTGTGGGAAGTTGAGGAGGATAATGTCTGAGAACAGCCATGATAGGTGGTAAGTTGTTTGCAAATAGATTGTTAGCATTTATCTCATAATGCCTAAAAGATAAAAGGGATGCCACTGATTTGAGTTCCGCTATTAAAAGAAAACAAAAGCAAACACTATATTTCACCTTTCAATGGGTTAAGTTACCTTTATCTGGTTTGGCTGGTCCATTTATAATATTAAACGCATTCTGAATTTCCAATTGCTGACTCACCATGGATCAATGCCTTAGAATAAGGCTGGTGGAAAGTTAGGCTGGAGACAAGGCTGTGGATACAGCCAAGCTTGCTCCAAGCCCTCAGCTCTCTGCAGAGCCTAGGTGGGCATAGACATCCAACAGTCCAGGCCCTTTTGACCCCAGAGAGCCCTTCAGGACTAGTTACGGGGTCCTGGGACTCCAACCCATGTTTCTTCCAGGAGCTATGAAACGTATTTGCAGATCATCCTAGAAAATAGATGTCTGCAAACTAATATGTGTAAGTGGCCAAATTACATTTCTAGAACATATGGTCTAGAAATGTAATTTGGCCACTTACACAGCGCTTTAAAAAAAAATGATAATATCTAGTGGTAAAGGAATTGTGAAAAAAATGTGCGTAATCCTTCATGGCTACCAGCACCACAAAATGATGCAACCCTTTGGAGAGTAATACAACAGTACAAAACACAAATGTTTAAAGCTGCTCATGTCTTTCACCTTTGCAAGTTGGGAATTTAACCAAAAAAGTAACCTAAATGTATCTAAAATGCATGACAAATATTCTAAATCAAGAGTTGACTCTAAAGTAAACATATGGTTTAAATATTTACTATTAGGGAAACAACTTAATAAATTATGGTTCATAAATGTGATAGCATTTTATGTAACAGATAGTAATATAAAGACTTTACAGAAACACTATATGTTTATATTT